TAGCCCATGCTGTTGACATTATGTCCATCGGTGCACACCATTTTTCATTTCCCTTAGCTAATTCATGGCGACAAATACACTCAATGCAAGAGCAAGGTTCAATGGCAGATTCAAACTCTACCAATTTGATTAACATATTTGTCAAATCATTTCTCGCCTCACGACCAATGCAGGTTGCAGTTTACCACTGCTTACATAATGGTCTAGAATCAGCTATTCATGCTTGTCTTCAGGTAATTCTCAGATGTGTTTGACTAGAAGCCATATGTTTTTCAACATGTTTCTTTCCCATGGTGGAATATATCCTTTCTGTAGTCCAAGTGAAATGTTAAAACGATACAGAGTTGTGTTTATCCATTCAGTACTTGTACTGGCATGGTGTAAGTATCATCGTGTGTTTTTCTATCACAGAATTGAAGTATGTTTAACAAATGTAGATTTTAGTTTCTTCTAGAACTTAACTGTAGAATTTACGGTGTTACCCCAACATCCTTTTGCACCAATAACTGTTAGGAAAAATCTTTATTTTATTTTTGTATCTTGGAACTGCAATTTATTGCATTGACAATTGGATATGTATTAAACTAAATATGTTATCAACAATTTCACGTGGGGTGGCACATGGAACTAGCTGAAGTTACTCCTTGCCACCTTGGAATCAGAATCCTTGCCTTGATCAATACTGTCTTAGCCTTAACCTCCCAGTGTTACATGGCATGGCTCTTCTGGTTACTTGCACTTTCTGCAGCAACATTGTGAAAAATCCCATTTCAAAATTTCTTTGGATGGATAAGTTTTCGTCTAAATAAACAAACACTGCACATTTCATACTCTTCAGTTCTAAATAGATAAGTTGGCGTCTAAATCCATTTTCAAGTGCGATAAAATAATACAGCATACTAGCATAGTTTTTTTTTATACTGATTTTACATCTTTCTATTGTAGTACTGAATCTTATTACATCTACATGTTGCTTTTCAGCTTATCTCAAGGGCCTGTCTGCAGAATGTGTCTTTCTGTGCCATTATGTGTCGTCCATGGAATTCACCATCTGATGTTGATGCAGTAGAATATGGTGGAGATGGAACAATAGTATCTGACATGTTTTCCTTATTGTCACTGTGTGGATCATATTTAAACAAGGAATCCAAGCAGAATAGCAATCAGAAATGCAAACTATCCAACCCTCATGCTCTTGTAGTGCACTGCTGCCTTGCATTAGCGACAATAGCTGCATGTTTGAAATCAGAGGGAGAGTCTTCAGCATCGGTTATCCTAACAAGTTCCCAGAAAAAACAGCGGTCCCGGCTCTCAGTTCTTGCACACTTATCATCAGTTGATGATACAGTGAAGAGTTGCCTGCAGCCACACTGTGCATCAGCAATGCTTGCGCTCTCATCACTTGTTTCTCTTGAAAATGGCGGACAAACTAGATCTTCTCTTTGTGAAACCGCCCTTGCTTTGTTTCCTCGTATGGCAACACTGCATACTCTGCTGAAGCTTTGGTTTTCTGATGGAAGCGAAGCACTCTGTCGATATAATGCTGGTCTTCTGAATCTTTTTGGACTCCGCGATGGAAGTATTGGATTGCTAGAGACAAGGTTGAAATGGGGCGGGCCATTGGCCATTGAACAAGCCTGCTCAGTTGGCATCCCACAGCTCCTAATTCGCTTGCTTACTGATGGTTTCTCAAAAGAGATATCTGATGGGAAAGATAGTTCAACAAACCGCAGTGGGTTGTCTCCATTGGGAGTTGTCTGGACTCTTTCTGCTTTATCTCAATGCCTTCCTGGTGGAGTTTTCCGTGAAATTTTGTATAGAAGGGAACAATTAAAGCTCTTAACTGACTTGTTGTCTGATACACACCTTAAGGCATTGGCAGCCTGGACAGGTCTTGGTGGTGGGAAGAAGGGAGTTCGGGAACTGATAAACTCAGTTGTTGATATCTTGGCATTTCCATTTGTTGCAGTGCAGAGTTCTCCAAACATGCCGTCAGCATCTGCATCCATCAATAGTGGCTTCCTGCTTAATGTTGCATCACCTGGTGGGCACATTGGTACTGAGAATAAGGAAATGCTCAAAACTATCGAGCAAAACATGCCTCAGTACATTCAAGTTCTACTAGAGGTCTGATTAGTTGGCTCTACTTTTTTCTTTTTTATCAGTGAACATTTCTGTGATTTGTCTCTCCTTGTACAGGTTGGCATTCCTGGATGTATGCTGCGCTGTCTTGACTATGTCAACATGGAAGATCTAGGTAGGCCCTTGGCCATTGTCGCCAAAATGGCAGGCTACAGGCCACTTGCTTTGCAGCTTCATAAAGAAGGTCTTCTAGATCCAAGTAGAGTAGCAGCATTACTGGAGGGTCCTATAGCAAAGGAGACTTTGCTTGATTTCCTCATGATTATTTCTGACCTTGCTCGCATGTCAAAGGTTTGTCATTTCCCGTCATCTCTGTGATGTCTTGTATGCCTAGTAAATATAATGTATTGTGATGTCAAAACTTTGTTGGATATACAAACTGATACATTTTGCTTGTGGCCAACAGGACTTTTATGTACCCATTGATAAAGCTGGACTTGTTGGATTTTTGAAGAACTTCTTATCAAATGGAGACGCTGATATAAGGGCAAAAGCTTGCAGTGCCATTGGCAACATGTGCCGCCATAGCTCCTACTTTTATGGCCCACTTGTAAGGAAATATGTATATTTTAATTCTTTTGCAGACTGAAATTGTATGCCAGTAATATTAACTTTGGTGTTTTCTGGTAACAGGCAGCAAATAAGGTGATCCATCTCTTGGTTGACAGGTGTTCTGATCCTGACAAGCGCACGCGAAAGTTTGCATGTTTTGCTGTAAGTTTGCAAACTGCCTTTGAAAGAGTTGATTTTTTTCCTATCCAGTTTCAAGAGAGTCAGATTGAGCTACCTGTTCAATTCTTGCCATGTCAGGTTGGCAATGCTGCTTATCATAATGACATGCTGTATGAAGAATTGAGACGGTCCATACCTCAACTCACCACTTTACTACTTGGTCCTGAGGAGGATAAAACCAAAGGCAACGCTGCAGGCGCGCTCAGTAATCTAGTGAGGAACTCTGACAAACTTTGCGAAGACACTGTCTCCCAAGGCGCAATTCAGGTTCGTCTAGTCTTGCTCGCTACTCATTTTCATACTCTGCTGTCTGCTGAAAAATGCTTGTCTCGTGTTCTATGAAGATTGGATGGATAACATTAATGCCAAGTGAATAACTTTTTCAAGGCTTCGTTACATATAACTCTTATATCCCAATTTCTTTGTGCAGGCGCTGCTGAAGATGGTCGGCAGTTACTCTACCGTTGCCCTGAGCCCCAGCAGACGAGATGCTCTAACTGAATCGCCGCTAAGAATCGTGCTCTTCGCCCTGCGCAAGATGTGCGACCACGCCATCTGCAGGAACTTTCTCCGGTCTTCAGAGCTGCTCCCGGTCATCGTCCACCTGCGGCAGTCACCTGATCCAACGATCTCCGAGTATGCTTCTGCCATCGCGACTAGAGTGAGCCAGGCCTGACGTTTCTCTAGGCAGGCGCAAGTTCAAAGGTGTTCCACCCTGGGCATGATCATGCCACAGCGGCCCAAATCTACGAACCATCTGCTGCTGCAGTTGTAATGTAGTGTATGGTCCTACGGGTCAAGCAAGCTAGCTACCATATTGTGCATATGTATTAGACTTCTGCAAAAGAGAGGATTCCATTCACTGTTTGTACATACGCAGCACCAAAGAGCTCCAGCTACGTTTGTGTTGATGTATATACTGCTAACCGCTGGTCGTGGCCATCGAATTGGGTCAGGGCCACGGGCCACCGCAGCGTGACCAACCTTGAAACTCTCCCCATCTGAAAGGCTAAAGCGGAACCAGAGTGCCGCTTCTTTGCTTGGAATTTGCTACGCAACAGGATTCTAACAGCTAACAGTCTGCTCCAAAGAGAGGCTGGTCCCATGACCCGATATGCAAGTTATGTAATCTTGAGCTGGGGACTCCGATCCACCCACCTTTGCACAGACTGTAGCGTAGCTACACGAAGCAAAGTATATGGGGGTACGGTGCTTTCTTGCTGCAACCTCGGCTTTGTCGACACACTGGATCAGAATTCAGGGCTGCAGAAATATAAAACAGAGGAATTGAACAAAACATAGGAAAGAGATAGGAATGTACGTTCAAACAGAGGAATGAAAAACATGGAAACTTTTAAAACATTGGCATTTGGAATGTAGGAATGGAAGTCGTGCTAAAACTTGAGAGTATAAATATTAACGCATATTATTAGGCTTTTATATACAAGATTTCGGCCAGCTTGCATGCCACCAGACATGCTAACAATGCCTCATTGTGCTTCATTTGCATTGGACTTCGTGAAGAAAAGAAAACCAAGAGGTAGAAGTGGATGTTCATTTTCCTCCAAAACGTAACATTCCTTTGGAAAGGAAGTGATTAATCCTCCAATCCAAACGCTGCTACAGGAGTAAAAATATAGGAATGGTGAATCCTTTAGAATATGTCTCTTTGTTGTTGGGTGTTGGGAGTCTGGGGACTTGGGAGTAGTTTTTCCTTCTTTCTTTTCTTGTCTTGTTTTCAACTTAACCCCCATTTCTTTTCTTTTTCTAATAATAATTCAAGCAAATGTCTCGCCATCACTTAAAAAAATTGATTTCATAATATGCAGCTAAAACAATAATAGCTGACTTGATACGATGCCAAATGCCTGACCAGATGTTTCAATATCCATATGCCTCCCATTCGACAAATACTGGATATAACAACATAACAGCGACAAGCCAATACCATGGACAGTGTCACGCACAGATACTTTTTGACAATCACGCTCATACAATGCATGCATTATTTTGTACTTCTCGTTACACGACACAAACCATGCATAGGTTATTTATTGACGTATATATACTAAATAAAAATACAGTTCGTGGCAAACACATAGCGATCGAGTGAAAGCATCGCCGTGTCAGTTTGGGAAGGTGATCGGGTAGACCGGCGACTTGTCCGGGTTGAACAAGCCAAAGTGCCTCTCGATCTCGTCCCCGGTCTTCTGGTTCTCGTTGAACATGGCGAACACGTACGTCTCCAGCACCCCGGGCTTCCTGGGCGTGCCCTGCCGGGCATGGTCGATCACGCCCTGGTTGTACTGGCGCGCGTTGTCGACGCTCGCCGCGAACCCGCTGGCCGACGGCCACCCGCTCTCCGACACGACGACCTTGACGCCGGGCGCGCCGGCCTTCTCCAGCGCCGCGTAGACGGCGTCCACCATGGCGTCGAGGAGGTTCGTGTACACCAGCCCGTTGCCGCCGTCCGTCACCGTGGCCGCCCCGGGCCGGAAGCTCGCGAACTCGAGGCTGATGTTCCGCGGGTCGTCCCTGTAGGCGAAGTACGGGTACACGTTGGCCAGCAGCGGCGCGCCGGTGTCGGCCAGGAACCGCGCGACGTCCGCCATGTACCCCTGCGCGAACACGCCGCGGGAGGGAGGGAACGTGTCGGCGAACGCGTCCATCTTCACCGCCGTGGACACCTTGACGCTGCCGTCGAGCCCCGCGGACGCCAGCGCGGCGTGCACGTTGCGCATGGCCGGGAGGAGCAGCCCCGCGGCGCCGTCGCCGGGGTCCACCTCGTTGCCGACGGCGATGTACTTGATGAGGACGTCGCTCTGGTACGCCTGCACGTTGGCCTGGACCCAGTCCGCAGCGGCTGAGGCGCTGCTGGCGAGCGCGCGCACCGCGTCCACGCCGCCCACGTCGAGGATGACGGCGATGCCGCTGCCCCGGAGCGCCGCGAGCGCGGCCTGGTCCGGGAAGTAGATGCGCATGGCCTGGATGTTGTTGGACTTGTAGAGCTGCACCACGTCCGCACGCGAGGGAAGGTTGTCGCCGAGCACGCCATAGCAGACACCGTGCACACCTCCCATTTGCTCGAACTCGAAGATGTTGTACACGTCGTACTTAGCAGCAAGTTTGCTCGGCTCGTGCGTGCTCGCTTGGATATATCTCGAATGCTGCTCTTATTCTCTAGCTTCTGGTCAGGAGAGAAGAACACCAACCAACCTTATTATATATAGTGTGCGCCGAGAGATACATTTATAATCGACTTGTTCGAGTAGAGACTAGAGAGGCTGCTACTTGGGTTGGTAACCTGCTAGTACCAATTTAATGTTAACTACAGGTCTGGTTATCCTGTTTGACTTTTCATCGACATGCATGTAGTTGCTTGGAAGCTTCTTAACGTATTAATACACGTAGCAGTATATGTATTTTCAAGGCGACCTCGTCTTGCCACTACTACATCGAGTATGTATATCATAATAATCATGTACAGGTACAATGTGTCTAGGCTGCTTAAGTTGATGAAATCAAAGGTGACAGATGATATCCCATCTTAAAACGTGACAGATACTGACTGGAGGCTTGCATTGTGCTTGGATGGATAATGCAAACACGGAACCATAGAAGCAAATGTGTGCGTTGAAGCAGCTGATGCGTTGCTTGCCCGCGTCAAATTCTACTGAGATCGTGTCACTGTCATTTCTCAGTAGGGGGAAACCCCCTCGTGTCTCATCATTTAAAAAAAAAATCTGATCGTGTCTATCTAACTATCACGGCAATGCTCATTTCACCACCGGCGGAGCCACGTATTGGCCATAGAGGGCTCCGCCCCCCCTTGCCCAGTAAAACAAAATGAGAATATATGCTGCGGTAGAAATGTTCAGCGTAGCTGTTGATAGAGACTGACAGGGCAACTGTTATCTGCTCTGTTAAATAAAGGTCACCTGTCCATTTTGGGCGCATAGAACATCTCTAAAACAATGGGTCGATCTAACAGGATTTCCACTTTTCTCCTGTTTGCTCCTGTCTCAACACCTAGAAAAATCCACAACCGCTGAACTGGTAAGGGTTGCAGACGCTGATTTGTGCCGTGGGAAGCTGGAACATATGATACTGTCGCGCTGCCGTGCCCCCCCCTCCTAATGGTTAAAGCAACTCCATTTCTATATACCCTGTTCGCTTGAGATTTTTGCCGCCCCCGCTGCTGCGGCTGCAGGATACACCTATGTGTCATTGTTACTAGCAGGCACGGACGCAGCTACTGTAGCAGTGTAGCTTTGAATCGGCCCCCCTACACATCCATGCAAGCTCCGCCACTGCATTTCACACATATATAATTGTTGCCATGGTCAATATAAAGTGGCAGATCTAATTTCAGTTTTGCCGGGGCTAGAGACAAATTATTGCAGAACATGGCGATAGCAATTACTATCACCATTAGTTTCAAATTATAAGACATTTTAATTTTTTTAATATATTAATTTTATTATATATCTAAACGTAGTGTATATCTAAGTGCATAAAAAAATAACGTATATAGAAAAGTCAAAATATCTTATAATTTTGAACGGACTGAACAGTAATTGAGAGGGTTCTTGATTTAGCTTAAGTCGAGAGCCCTTCAAATTTCAAAGTGTAGAGGATATCGGAAGGAAAAGAAAAGGTAGAAGGAGAAAGGAAAAACCAAATCGGCCTCATTTTGTTTATACTTTAGGTCCAAACAGCCATGCAGTGCAGCCCAACAGCGAACATGAAATTCCAAGAAACAATCTGCAAGCCTTGTCGTCGTCTATATGTCTTCGTCAGTAGACGTTCCAATATTTGTTTAACCTTAACCAAATTTATCTTAGATTATAAAGGATTCTAGTTGAATTAACTCTCCTAGTACCAATTACACATGTACCAGTCATTAATATACCTACTGTCAACTTAACCATCAACCTCAAAATAAGGTAAGTATAATGTTTCCCATGATCAAAGGAGGGTTAATTACATGTGTCATTTGTTTAACCTCGTAGTATGTACTAGAATTTCAATAACTTCTTTTAAGATGGAGAGGATATTATCGCTAAATTATTGCGAGTAGGGCTGTCCTACACTCCTACGACATGATCAAAGAAGGGCAAGCCTTGATGGGCACCGGTTTGACTCCAAGCCCCAGTTCGATGTACCCTTGTTCAAAAAAGAAAAGGTGCCTAGTTCTACATCACCCATGGCGCATCACCATTGGAGCAGAATAAGCTCAATCTGGCCCAAAAAACGCAGTGGAGGCCGGTCAAGCCAAAATGACTAACAGGCCACCTGGCCCAAAAGGCCCATCACTCAACATAGAGGGTAGAGCCCACGACTAGCTTCTGTTTCACCTTCATCCAAAAAAAAAAAAAACTTCATCCTCTCCAACCTCGTTGTATCTTCTGCCGAATGCCTCTTCCTCGTCCTCCCAAGCTACCGGCGGCAGTGGTGCTGGTGCAGCATCCAGGGGCAGGGAAAGCGCAGGGTTGAATCGGAGTATCGGGCATGACACTGCCCGCCGCCGCCTTCCACCACCGTCCACGGCCGCCGGCGCGTACCGCCGCCGTCCGTCCCCGGTCGCCGACGAGTCCGAGTCCGCGACCTTCGCGCGTTCCTGATACCGTATCGCCGGCGTATCAGGCCGAATCCGTGTTTCTCTCGGCTACGCTCCTCTTATGAATCGGAGTCCTGGGGCCCTACTCCAGATCACCTCGCTATATATTTGTCCGAGCCGGGGCTTCATCGCTTCATCTTCTTTTCTGCACATCGCGTCTCCAGAGGAATCTGTAGCGCCGCCTCTTGTAGTCCTAGCGCAGCGGCTGTAGCGTCTCTTGTAGCGGAAGGTCAGCTAAACTCTCTTTCTCCTTTCTGTATGTATTCCCCACCGAGCTGCTTTGGGTTTACCCCTTCATCTATATATACGTGTACGTGTGTATACACGATCTGTCAAAAAGAGATTTTTTTTATGGTTTTATTGTGCTAGAGGATTTCAGCAATATGTTTTCACATGGCACTGTTTCTTGCAGAATCAAAATGGAGGACCATCTTATGTGCAGAAGGAAAAGACTGAAGCGTTGCCATAAGAAGCCTGTCTTCAGACAGAGGAGTGCACAAATCCAGTTTTCGGACCTTCCTGTGGTATGTACTGAATTACGTTTATGGATGTATTTAGGAGGTTGTGCTAGAACAACCTGTGGAATTAATTGTCTGTTCTCCTTCGTTGCAGGATGTGCTAGGCACGATTCTGTCAAAATTGCCACCTAAGGAAATGGTAAGAACTAGTGTTTTATCAAATGAGTGGAAACATATCTGGACAGTTTGCCCCAAACTCAGATTTGATGGTGCCGCAATGTGCGGCCAAGATGTGCCTGGAACACAACACTATACTCGGAAGTTTATTGACAATGTCAATGGAGTCTTGAAACAATATCACGGCAAGGTGGTCGAAGAGTTTGGGGTCAAGTTTTAATTTGACACCACGCTAGCTGAACATCTCGGCTGTTGGGTTAATTTTGCCTTATCCTTACGAGCAAAGAATCTAGCTCTTGACTTGCTCCCGGCCAGGTGGGGGCTCCGTCCTGATAGGTACAGATTTCCCATTGAGCTGTTTGAAGACGAAAGCATATCCCGTCTACAACACCTACAGCTTAGCTTTGTGTCTTTTGAATCATCTTCCCAATTCTGCGGTTTCCCCAACCTGAAGAAGCTTGATCTACATGTGGTGAGCGTCACCCGTAAAGGTCTTGAAGATATGTTGTCAAATTGCTCTAATCTTGAATGGTTGAGTATAGTTAGATGCCATCTGGATAATGATGAATTGAGGGTGCATCGTCCGCTGCCCCGCTTGCTATACTTGCACGTCGCATACTGTAAGATAAGCAAGATAGAGTTCATAGCCATGAATCTGCAGACTATTCCGGGGGAGGTTGATTCCTTTTTTCCTCTGGCCTGTTTTGGCACTGAAAGACGTGAAGCTCTATCTTATTGGCAAGATAACTCTTAACTTCGCGATGTCCGCGCTTCCCTTCTTGTTTCCAAGGGCACAGAATATGATTCTCCATTGTTCCTTGCCACTTAAGGTTTGTATATCCCACAGCCATTATCATTGAATTGTTTCCTTACATTTTTCTGTTTTTATGACTCCTTTTTTTTTTCTATCCTTCAGACGCCATGGCACAAGGAAACGGTTCCAAGTTTTCACTGTCTAAGTATCTGCAACTCAAGTTTTTGGTGTCGGTGGAAGATCTCACTAACCTTGTGTCCTTGGCCTCTTTCCTGAGTGCTGCTCCTTTCGTTGAAAATTTAGAGATACATGTAAGTACTGTAATGGTTTACTTCCTTGCAAATATAACTTGTTGTATTTCGTACTTTATTAGTGGCATTTATAAGTCAAAAAATGCATTGTCATTTTCTCTTAATGAAAAACGGGTGAATGGCCCGATTGCGAAAAAAAATTGCATTGTCACTATCAAGGTTTGCTTTCGTTTAATAAATTTGTCAAACTGCACATGTATACAACTTTGGTTATTTCCACATAAATTATCAGAATATTTTAAAGTTGGTGAACCTTGGATTACAACCGTTGCTGACATATTCTTTTTTTTTCCTCCTAAAATGTTGCAGTTTGCTATTTGTACCCTCCCACATGGCTCAGAGCTTATCAGGAGGCTTCCAGGTTCTACACATAGCTATCTAAAGAACCTTAGTATCACTGGATTTGCAGGGTGCATCGGTCAAGTTGAATTGTTGTTACACATTGTAGAAAATGCCCCTAACCTTTAGGCTTTGACTATTGACCGAGCTAATCACTATGGTAATAATGAAGAGTATGTAAGGCAATCAAGATCCAAGGCACTAGACATTGCTAGGAGACACCTGGATGGGAGGTTATCAGAAAATACAAAGGTTTCTATAATGTAGGACGATGTGCCTGAAAAGGAAGCCTGCTAATGTTGTCGATGGCCTCTCAAGTTATTGTTCCAACCTTCTAAGATAACTTATATATTTTAAAAAGGAGAGAATATTAGCTCTAAACTATTGCAGAGTTGGGCTGGGATGCGCTGTCCCACACTCGCACAACAAGCTCAATGAAGGCCCTTTTTTTGGCCCGGCCTGGCCCGAACCCGGCCCAGCACGCAAAATGCTCAGGTCTAATGAAGGGTAAGCCTTGTTGCTTGTTAGGCACCGCTTTGACTCCAAGCCCCGAGTTCTACCTGATGGAAGATTCCTTTCAATCAGATGATCAGAACATGCATATTTGCACGCAGAATCATTCTCGTATGCAGATCACGTTCATACACATATGTATAATACATAAATACACAACTTTAGTATTTTATTAAAACCATAAAAAGATTTGTAAATATTAACGTGACAGCATAGACCTTAGTACGTTGACAAACAAAGCAGCATTATTCATCACTGAATCTTCGATCTGCCCCCTCAAATCTGAATCGACATGTAATTACTTCGGGAACGTGACGGGGTAGACAGGCTGCTTGTCCGGGCAGAACAGCCCAAATTTCCTCTCCGTTGCATCCCCCGGCTTCTGGTTTTCATTGAACATGGCGAACACGTACGTCTCCAGCACCCCGGACCTCTTGGGCGTGCCTCTGTACACGTGGTCGATGAGCCCCTGGTTGTACGTCCGCGCGTTGTCCACGCTCGCCGCGAACCCGCCGGCCGACGGCCAGCCGCTCTCCGACACGACGACCCTGACGCCGGGCGCCCCGGCCTTCTCCAGCGCCGCGTAGATGGCGTCCACCATGGCGTCGAACAGGTTCGTGTACGCCAGCCCGTTGCCGCCGTCGCTCACTGTCGTCGCCCCCGGCTAGAACGTGGCGTAGCTGAGGCTGATGTCGCCGGGGCTGCGCCTGTACGCGAAGTAGGGGTACACGTTGGCGAGCAGCGGCGACCTGTTGTCGGCCAGGAACCACGCGACGGGCACCATGTGCCGCTCCACTTCGGGGTGGAACACGCCGCTGGAGGGCGGGAACGTGTTCGCGAACACGTCCATCTTCAGCGCCGTGGACACCCTGACCACGCTGGAGAGCGCCGCGGCGGCGAGGGCGGCGTGCACGTTCCGCATGGCCGGGAGGATGAGCCCCGTGTCTCCCGCGCCCACCTCGTTGCCGACGGCGATGTACTTGATGAGCACGTCCGGGTAGTAGGCCTGCACGTTGGCCTGGACCCAGGCGGCCGCGGCCGAGGCGCTGCTGGCGAGGTAGCGGACCGCGTCGACGCCGCCCACGTCCAGGATGAGGCCGATGTCGCTGCGGCGGAGCGCGGCCAGGGCGCCGTGTTCCGGGGAGTAGATGCGCATGGCGTGGATGTTGTGGGACTTGCACCACGTCCGCGTGCGACGGCAGGTTGTCGCCGAGCCAGCCGTAGCAAACACCGTGCACACCAGCAGCTAGCAAGCGATCAGGCCTTGATCGAATGTGAACGAAACAAAAAAAAATGGCATGCATGCAGATGCAGTAACTAAACCGCTTGGGCCTGAGAAATGGATTATTGGTAACCATGAGAATTGAGAGAAGAATGGAATTATAACCAAGAAATGAGAAAAGAAAACAAATTATATAGTTGGAGTTTGAAATTTTACATCATGTAAATCCAACAACCCTGGTACTACTACAAAATTTATTTAAGAAAATTATGGACTCCTCGTAAAAAGTTTTATTGCCTTTTCTTTTAACTATCAAAAAAACTTCCCTCCCCCTATGAAGAAATAACAATGATTTTTTTGAGTAATAAAACACTGCCCATACAACACATATCTAACAAAATGAATTCATATATAATCATAAACAACAACTAATTTTTTAACAAGTGCCGGATGGAATTGTTCAATTATTGCTACACCAAATCCCATATCAGAAAAAAGATGGACATCTAGGTTAAAAACTTTCATACCTTCGACATCGTGCTCATGTGGTTGCTGTTCTTGATGTTCAACACCTTGTATCGTTTCTAGTGGATATAGCTCTTCTTCTTCTTCTTCTTCTTCTTCTTCTTGCTTTGATTTGAGTTACTACCACTTGCCGAATTTATGCAGCTAAGCTTTTCAAATCTGCATAATCATTGAAATTAATTGACTAAGCAATAATGAATGTCTGTCTATCTAATTGACTAAAAGTAATCAAACCACATATTGCAATGGCTTGCTTAATGGTAATACCTAATAATTTCTCGTAATGCTTCTTGTTCAATGGAGTTGACGTGCTCCAGCTTGGTCTTCCTGACTTTGCCCTATGGGTCGGTCTGCCTCTGCTGGTGTGCAATGGAGGGCAGTAACAACACTCTTTCAGTGGTGATTTGCCACTATTTCATCCTCATCCTTCTTAAAACTTCCTTCTTCCAATGATATCTTAAAGTGAATGTGGATGTAGCTGATATGAGAATTTAGCTTTTCAAATTTGATGATATTATTAGAAAAAAGAACACTATACTTACCCCATTTACATTTTCTACTTGCATGTATCATCTGGTATATACAGAACCCTTTTTTTTTGAAAGAGATAGGCAGAACCTTTTAGCTTTTCTGTTTTTTACTAATTGGCTAAATGTATGGTGGCCAGCTAAACACTATTTACTACGCACTTGGCATTCATAAAACACCAAACAAGGCAACAAGACAACAGTATTGATCAATTTTATTAGTATTACTAATTGATCTATCGTCACAGGTGAATTACATGTATGCTGGTAGATCTTTTTTTTTTCAAAAGCGTGCTTGGCACGTGCTTCATTAAGAGAGGTTAGAGTGTTTTCATACATGGACCGGCGGCGTATGGCGGCGAGGTGTCGTGGTCGCCAACCGGTGTTACACTGACAGAGATCACCAGCTCGAACGGTGGTGCTGTAGATGCGTTCTAACTAAGTAACTGACCAATTTTTGGACTAAGTAGAAGCACCGTAGCCATTTAGGACGCAGTTGTGGGTCGACTCACCAAGGAGAGAGAGGACCACGTAGAGGAGAGAGAGGACCACGTAGGCGCAAAACCGACTCGTTAAAAAATCGACTCCATACTACTCCAGCGGTGGTGGGACCCACAATCGACTCATCCTTCTCTTTCCATCAACCGGCTACTTCTTTCCCCTTTCTCCTGACGGCGCAGCCTTCGTCCATCGGCGGTAGTCTCCACCAGCGAGGGCCTGAGCGCGCGCGGCCGGTGAGGGCCCGAGCGGGCGCGGCCGTCGCGGGCAGCGAGTACCCGTGCGGACGCCGCCATCTCAACCGGAGGTCGCGGCCGGGGCGGGCCCGTGCGGACACGGCCGTCTCCATCCCAAGTGCTGCATACCTGCTCTCGCCAACAGGCGGTGCCAGATCTCGCGCGTGAAGGTGCACGATGCCAGCAGGTGGTCGGTGGTTTCGTCTTGTTGGTCACACAGAACGCAGGTGGCCTCTTGCTGCAAACCATGGCGTTTCCGGCGTTCGGCTGTCCACAAGCGACCGTGTAGAGCGAGCCAAAAGAAGAATTTGACCTTGGGCGGAACCGCAGCTCTCCAGACGTGCTTGGCGCCCACCAACGAGGTCATTCCGGTGAAGAAAGCTCTATATGCCGATGAAGCAGTATATGTGCCATTCCCTGTATGCTGGTAAATCGAGTAGTATATGGCATAAGAATCAGTTACGTGCAGTGGTGATTTTCTAATGACGACATGCAAGTATCTTTCATTGCGTGGCTGAAGCGTTTTTGGTGAAAAAAAAAAGTTACAAGATGCAATTTTACGGCATAATCAGTGCATTGCATGCAATTGGATCCTATCATGGTTGTACTGTGCGTGCAAGTATCTTTCATTGCAATGGCTGAAGCGTTTTTGGTGAAAAAAATACAAGATGCAATTGCATCATTGCATGGTTGTACTGTGCATGCTTTTGTTGCTTGTGACGTCTGTCCTTTTTTTTCTTCTGTTACGTTGTATGGCCCTATATATCCTTGATGAAGTTCTTGTGCTGCGGGCTGCGGCATGGCCTCGTCAGCGACATGAGTGGCGAGGGCAAGCTCACGTCCTGATCTTGCGAATGGTAAACGGCTAGGGGGCAGGAGACTTTGACATTTCAGGCATATAGTTTCGAAGAAACCAAATGTCCCGATATATCATGCATGGTGGGTTCATCACGAATAAAAAATGGCAGTTTCACCACGGAAAATATCTGATGAAGAAAAAGAAAACCGAGAGAGTGGACCATACCAGAACGGGTCTCATCTTGGCCACCGCCGTCTTCTCGCCGCCGACCGGTAGTCTCCCACGCGCACCGAAACACCGAAGACAAAAGCTGCGAGAAAGTAATCTCACCTGGAGAGGAATAGCTTGAACGTCAAGGAGAACTGGAGAAGAGCTTCCTCTTGGCGAACGTATGGAACAAACGCGCCGCGATTGACGGCGCCGGCTTCTGCCGCTCGGTGGATCGCCAGGCTGCCGCCGAGTTATAATTCACACGTCTCCGCCGGTGCCACAGCTTCCTTGTCATGCTCGGGGAAAAAGAGAAAAATATGAAAGATTGATTAGGGAGAAAATCACGGCAGCCTGCCAGGAAGGTAAGAAGAGGCGCATAACTAGTGGGGTGGGCTCTCATCACCGGCAAATCGCCCGACGAAAAGATCTGGGCACCTGGGCGTAGGGCGGCGGCGGTTGCCCTAGTCACGCACGCGTGGACTGTGGGGAAGAAAAAGAGCCGGTATAGTACGGGCAGGTATAGGCGTGGACGGGCGACGGACGCTCGGGCGGGTATAGGCGTGGACGGGTAAAAAAAATTTCGGTGAGAAAAAAACAGCGAGGGAGGATAGAAACACGCGTAAACGTTTACAAGTTCACTCGTCAGATCACGATTGATGATTTAGATGTATTGGATCTGATTCTAAAGTAGATCTAAGAGTCAAGAGTCTAGGTGGATAGATAATATCAGGGTGACAAGTATTTTACAATTCATTGACTGTTTATAGTATCGAACTAGGTACACACGAGTAGGTATAGGCGTGGACGGGCGACGGACGCTTGGGCGGGCATACGCGTCGATGGCACTGGTAGAGAAATGATTTTTCATCCACTTCAAAATTTGACTTTAGTCCCGGTATTTTTCGCGCCGGGACTAGAAAAACCTTTAGTCCCGGTTGGTAGCTTCAATCGGGATTAAAGGTCACTGCCCAACGGTTAACGAGGTGTGTTAGAGGCACGTCAGTGCGAGAATCTTTAGTCCCGGTTTGAGACATGAACCCGGACTAAAAGTGTGACTTTTAGTCCCGGTTTGAGACACGAACCTGGACTAAAGGTACCTTTAGTCCTGGTTTATGTCTCAAACCCGGACTAAAGGTGTCTCCAAACTAAATTTAAAATAAAAGCTTATCTTATATAAGTTACATGTGTGGTAGTAGGTGAGATGGTAACGCGTGCAAGAGCTGAAGTGGAAGATCGTAGGTTCGAATCTCCACAGCTACAACTTTTTTTTTACCCAATAAACACCTCTACTCCCGGTTGGAGGAACCAGGACTAAAAATCAAGACCTTTAGTCCCGATTGCATAGTCCCGGTTCCAAAACCGGGATTAAAGGGGGTTAAGAACCGGGACTACATCTAGGTTCTCTACTAGTGTGGGTAAACTTTTTTCAGTGAGAAAAAAAAACAGCGAGGGAGGATATGCCAAAGAGAAACACGCGTAAACGTTTATAAGTTTTCCGATCACTAGTGGAGAAATGAGATCTAGTCCCGGTTGGGAATTATCTCTACTCCCGGTTTCCCAACCGGGACTAGCAATCCGGGACTA